GGAGAGGGAGAGGGAGAGGGAGAGGGAGAGGGGCCAAACAGTTCTTTTATAGCAAGCCGGGTTGGTACCCGGCTGTTGCTAGGTAATTGTGCGGAGCCTAGAGGAAATACTAACATACTCCTCTGCCGTGAGAGGAGCAGGCTCTGGAGATGGAGCCTTGGGTGAGGGTGAGCCAGCCCTTGAGAGCAGGAGAGCTGACCCTGCCTCCTGCTGGTGGCATAAGGGAGAGCAGGCAGGCTGACCAGCTCAACTACAACCCAGGCCTAGATCTAAGGCTCTGAGTTGACCCAGCTCCAAAATCTGTATCATCTGTGAATGGTTGGGACAGGCAAACAGCCAGTCCTGCTGATCCAAAGCTGCAGGATCCCCATGACACAGAGTAACAATAAGAACAGCAGGAGGAGTCCAGATGAGGCTCCAATATTGATGGTATTACAGAAGCCAGAGATCTCAAACTAGACCAATCACTCATTGCAAGGAACATTTGCAAGTGAAGATGTGTGGACAGAGGGATACACTGTGGGACACACTGCGACACACTACAGCTTCCATGAAGAGAAGCTTCTATGCTTTGTTTTGTTGTTGTTTGTTTTGTTGTTGTTGTTGTTGTTGTTATTGTTTGAGGGAGGGTTGCAAGGGCAAAGGGTGAATATGAGGGGATAGGGAGATGAGCAGGACTAAGGTGCATGATGTGAAACTCACAAAGAATCAATGAAAAGTTTTTTTAAAATAATTGCATTAATATTCAGTTCTCTGAGTAGATAAAAATTGGAAAATGAGGCCTTACTGAACTCCCATCGTAAGAGCAGCCATGATCTGGTACTGCATGGCTTGGGCTTCTAGTGCATGAGGTGTGTTTCTGAACACATAGGCTGACAACATTCCACATCACCTCTCCCCCACAATGTTCTTGGCTCCTGTATGTCACCTCTCTGCTCTTAGAGGCATTGAGACTGTGTTCTGGTGACTGGGAAGCAGAACAACACGGTGCCGGTCAGAGAGGGGAAGCAGGCTCTCACAGAGCCGACGAAATGAAATGACAGTGGATTCTTTCTCTCTGTCCCCTGAGAAATTATTTGTGTGCTTAATTTGTAGGTGCTGCAAACAGAGCTAGTGCAGACTGAAGCCAAGTGTGAGAAACTGAATTCTCGCAGGCTGCTGTAACTGAAACAGAAAGGGAGGAGGAGAGTGTTGAATGAAAGAATCTCTAAGATAATAGTGGGAAGAGGCAAAGAGAGGTGGTGAAAGAATGGTCCAATCAGATACTTGGGGAGGCAGGTCCCTAACATGTGACCCTCCATGGCTCCCATCAAATTCCCAAAGCACCAAAGAACATGGCTGAGAGAAGTTTGGAGACTAACCAAGGCTTCTGGATTCAGGTAACCAGAAAGCTAGATATAAATAGTTGTAAAAATACAGAGCATCCAGGGTGCCCAGCTACCGTGCAACCCCAAAAGAGTCCTGTGATCTCTCAGCCTCAGGAAGGCTTAGAAGTTTGCCAGCCGGCATGATGAAGGCTGTTAGGTACAGTGTTCTACTGAACTCAATCCTAAACAACTAGAGAACTTTTACTTCATGATACTAGGGAACTTTAGCTAGGTAATTCCTCTTTCCCCAACATGACAGAAGGGGCCGTATAGGATGCCCCATTTAAAAGAAAGAAAAAAGCTAGCAGAAATGACAGTGGCTACCTTGGTATCACACAAACTTATTCTGGAAAGATTACAATGATTTGTTGAAAACAAATTTTAAGGGGAAAAATGAACCTGTTGTAGAGTAATTACTGGTAATCTGTTGGTAATTATGCTTTCTTTTTGTTCTTCAATCACTTCGAAAAGACATTCCCCAAAGGCCAGATGTTCAGGATAAGGATGTGACTAACTGACAGTCAAAATGATGTTGATAACAACAAGTGACAATAGTAACCAAATGAAATGACCTCCATGATAGTAACAGTACCAGTGGAGGCATCAGAACCAACGTTGCTATGGAAATTGAATGGGGGGGGGGGCGGGTGAAAGGCATCCATGGGATGTGGTGTTCCTAGGGAGCATGAGCACATTGTATTGCATCCTAAATATGATTCAGATAAGTAGCACTCTTTTGTGATATGCCCAGCAGAGGGAAGACAGTGCAGGGCTTGCTGGGTGGGAGACAGTGCAGGGATGAGGAGCTGGGGACTTGTCTCTAGGCTGTGTCTCTGATAAACAGCACTCAGCATCCTTTCAGGAAGGAATCTGAGAAGCTTCTTTGTACAGAACAAATACAACAAAATGAAAGCTTCCTGGGCACGGTCATTTCTTTCCATCTTTGCTGCCGCTGTGCAGAACAGCTCAAGTTTAATGGTGGCACGTACCCTTCCTTAAGATGTAGCATAGCAACTTTCTGGGCTCCTTGTTTGAAAGGTGAAGACTAATGAAAATCCTCTCTGGTGATTTTCCAAGAATAAAAGGAAAGACTTGTAAACAAAGAAGTCAAATACCCCATCTGGATGGCTTTTAAGCTCAGCACTGCTATCCATGGGGTAAGCTTTTTGTTTAAAAGTATTCATCACAATGTTATGCAGTTACATATGTATTCATTCCTTGTGGTAGTCTGCACATCAACAGATGCTTGTGAAGGAAATCACTCTTATTGCATGGTCCACCTGGTGAAAGAGGCATGGGGGACTGTGGCACAAAGCTGGCATCTCAGAGGTGGCCAGTATCTGCTAGACATGGAGTCCACCTCAAGGTCACCAGAAAATGGCCTGAACAAATGATGGTAGCTTTACCAAGTGTAGGTTGAAACAAGGATCCAGAGTTTGACATCTGGGGTGACAAGGATAAACCCAACATTGACTGTCTGAACTTAGAACTGCTCAGTCCATGAGGCTGGGAGTTCTCAGCAGTCCCAAAAGTCTTGGGAATTCTTAGAGAATCCATGGCCTTCAGACCATGTCAGGTGGATGAAGAGACTGGGTTCTGATGGTGTAAAAGCATGGTGCCAGCAACACCAGGAGATACTCAATCAGCAAAGGTATGCCGCGTAAAAATACTGCTTTTTCCTCCAATCCCTTTAAATCTGGACTCTTTTCCCTTCAAGCAATCCTTCCTGGAATGTCTTACAGTCCAAAAGATGTTTCTTAGTTGATTCCAAACCCAATCAAGATGACAGTCAAGAGTGAACCTCCCAGCTACTTTCACCCACTGCCTCCTAAGGCGCTTCACAAAGAGGAGTAACCATGGTTTCTATTCAGAAGCCTTAGATCACAGACCTGGCTCCAAACTGCTTCTAATACTTCCCTAACCAGCCATCTCCACTGAGCACCTTCCTGCTGCTCATTTAGAATTCTGCAAACAGTCTAGAACAAAGACTCCTGGCCTCTTCATCTCTAAAGAGTCACTCCTCCTAACGCCATCAATCGCAAGAAGAATTCAGAAAGTGGTTAAAGCACACCGTGAATTAGCAAAGTCTTAGGCCCTATAGTCCTCTTTGATTTCACTAAAAGCAATCACTCAAAGGACATGGTATCCCAAACAAACAGGCTACTGTGAAGCCAGAGCTAGTGATTTGAATCCTAACAGGTTTTCTTTTGAAAAAAAGCTTTGTCATTATGTTGTGATGCTCAGAAAAGAGGAAAGAGGAGCAGACCTGCAGAGAAAGTTCGGGATGACTTGAAAATCAAATGCCATCTCCACATTTTAGAAGGTAGGTATGAAATCCCAGCTGATATCAAACGGTGGATGAGCACAGAGTGTACACCCTGCCCCCCACCCTGCCCCCCCGCCCTACCCCCCTCCTGTCCCCTGAACATTCGGAGGCCAAGGCTGGCTCTATCATTAGTCAAAACAAGCAGTAGCCCCGAACTGCAAAATATTAGAAATAATAAAAACGGACTACAGGTCCCGGGACTGACTGCAGGCTGGCAGGCACCAACACTTGCCAGTCCACCTGAAGCAATGAGAGGATTCATTTCCACCTGCCCATTCTGTCAGAGACATAGCAGTTCTTTGACTATTGTGGCTGCATGTCGATATTTCTGGTTGAGACAAACATAGACATACATACATACATACATACATACATACATACATACATACGAAAACAAAAGGGGAAAAATTTGAAGGAGTTTGATATGCTGTACATTCAAACCTTTGTAAGATGCAGATTGCATTGATTTATACAACACCTTTACTACCTGACTCCCTATGATAAGATGAAATTTTAAAGAACTTTAAACTGGATTTGTTTAAATACAAGATACATTGTAAAATGCTGTCTTTCTGTGTGATGATTTAAAACTCTCCCAAATAAAAGGTCACCCACTAGCACACACACATCTAACAGTGGTCTCCACACCGTGTGCTTAGCAACAGG